CCTTCTATTCTGCGATCGTCGCTTACTCACTCAAACTACCCATCATCTATGTATCCCTACTTAAAATAATTTGCAATGCAATAACGTTAGTGGGTGCCTCTTGCTATTCAATAGGACCCAACCGACGCGCTTGCTGAGTATCTAAAGGGAAGCCGTAATCCTGAGAAATAACTTTTAGATTGCTAACTTAACTTGAACGTTACTCCACTCATTTTTGCTTCACTTAGTCCTTCAAGCAGTCTGAATTTCATGGATCTCTCAACTGGCTAATCACTACGATAACCTCTCAAACTAGACTAAAACAAGGGGTTTGTGAAACATTCCAAAGTATGAATCATTCGACAGCCCTAACCCTAGGCGGTTTTAGCGACTGATCAGTTTTTGAAACTGAAGAGAAGGGTGCGTCCCGTAAAGCATTTAATTAAGCAAAAAAATGAATGCTTTTCAAAAAGCTGTAAATGTTCTAGTAGGAATGCAAAACTAAAGTATGCTGCCTGGAAGTTCATTGGCCGATTTGGTATGAGACATTAACGAGTACGTATTTATTTTACCAAAGACTATGACATCCCCTTCCATTTACCTCAGCTCCTTTCCCAATTTGACATTTGGAGGTGTTGTGGTACTCGACTTTGGTATTTGTATTGGTGAACACGTAGTTACATGTCCGCCCTGTCTCGTGTCTGACCAGGGCCTATGTTAGGAGGTAAAGAACAAGGTCCGTCTTTTTTACATTGCATGTGTGTGGTAGTTTTGCGCTTGATATAAGCATGTTGAACACTGTGAAGGCACTCTCGTTTTGTGGTACTGCCTTCCATTTTGCTACTCATTACAATAAATAGAATGCCCTCTTGCCATTACTTCGGCTACTTGTGACTCCACAGTACTGGAGAACAACTGCTGATTTGTGAGTCTTCCGAAGACCTTGTCACGATTAACGTTAAGACGTTTAGGAGGCAAATTGTACTGACCTGTTAAAAATGTTATTCTTCAGAGCATCAAGCAAAAATGTATGCTTTTATAAAGCAGCGATAGCACCAAATTATGAAATGCCATTATGAGTAAGTTTTTATGTCGATGCGCCAAAGTTCAAGCTAATTTCCAACCGCATGGACGCACGCTTTTGCCCTCGTGTAAGTTTATCATCGCAATGCAGCTGTGCTTCTAGGTTGGCTTAAGAAAGAAAAGTATCCAAATATGCGCGTGGAAAGTCTAAACCCGTTGTTGTGGACAATGGTGTTTACGTTTGCCTCCTTCGTTTTTTACAACTCAGCAGGCCCAGTCAGGGCAATAACCATGACGGGCTAGATTAGACTTTCAAACAAATTTTCCTTACTGGTACTATCATCAGAGTGCAATCTTTAACCTACCGTCACATCTGAATCTGTCCCTGTTGCTTTACCTTGATAATGGTCCGACAAAACTGACAAGACTATCATTTTTCCTACCAATCTGCCAGTATTTTATTGACTTGGGGCGAAACGTCCCTCCTCATTCGTCCCTCTATAATCCATCCGCTTTTTTAGTGCAAAGTCAAATGAAATACGTTCGACGATCGAGTGACGTGTGGGCTGTCCCTGCTTTCGAATTTTTGCCTTGAGAAGCCATGTCGGCCGAATGAGTTTGCCTAATGTAAAGAGGATCTAGTTGACGGCCCTCTCCTTCTCCCTTTCAAGACAGTGAAACAAGAAAAGTGAAAAAACAAAACGGTACTCACTCCAATCTCGCAACCCTTAGGTTAGAAGAGTAATCTCGCGACAAGGAAGAAGAAGATAAATCGGCAAAAAACAAATAAATGAAGAAAACGTGGGTGAGAGACCTAAAGGGAAGAGAGGCTTTACATGCATTGCTGGCAGGTGAATTGGTTTCCCTTAATACAGAATTGCAGTCCGGCCAAGTCGCACCGGCACCTCGAACAGATAAAGCAGGCCTTATGGAAGCGTCGGACGCCGAAGTTGACAACCGTGGAGTCTGGTGTGATTTCACCATCGCATCGCTACGGAGAAGAGCGAAAAGGGCAAAAGTACACTTTTTAATCCCCTAGTCTTACCTTACTGAACTGATGACCAACGATTTATATAGTAAGTAGACAACAAATTAGTGTTTACTATTTTTTAAAGTCGGATCAGTGAACTATGTCGTGCTAGCGGATCAGATCACATGAAAGCAGTTTTATCAAGCTGCACTTCTAATGGTTGGAATTGCGATGGTGGAAACTACTAAGTGAAGTCCTAAAGAAAAATTAAGTTCATAAGTGTACCCTAAAAATTCACGCTTTTTGGTAGAAGGAATATCTTTTGGAGACCAAGAGTTTTGGAAATAAGGGCAATAGCCTAGAAGGAAAAAGGACTTCCAAACAAAAAAAACATAATTCGCTCTTTCAGATGAGCACTTAAAGCACTTAGAACTATCACTTGACGCAGGAATTGTGCTTAACAATGCATATCCCACAATTTCTGTCAGCTGGCCATTTTATGACAGGTGACAGAAGAATTTTTAATGGATCCCCGTAAGGGGAGTGCATTAAAACTCACCGAACAATTGCTCTTGACATTCCTCGCCCAGCAACTTTGACAGTAGATTTTTTCACCATCAAGAAAGAAGGACACCTTTGCGAGTACCACGCAACACCCACCACAGGTGAAGCATTCCGGATGCCACTTACGACCATTCAAGGTTATAACTTGACCAGCGCTGGTCTCCTGTCCGCATTTGGCACAATTATCCAGCTCATTTGCGGTTTCTTCTTGCTGAACGGACCCTTCATGTTGCTGACTGGACCCTTGTTGTTGTTTCTGCTGCTGTTTTCCACATGGGTCATCCTCTTGGTCATCTGCTTTTCCCTTATCATTACTTCGTTGCTGCTGGTTCTTTTGTTTTACCGAGCCTCTCTGAGATTTTTGAGGCTGTTCTTCCGGATCCGATTGATCCTGGTCACTTTTTCCACTTTTACGTGAATCGGACTTCCGTACTTGATCCCGCCGACTGGGCATACCACCTAGACAACGTTATTATTTAATACCCTACTAATTGCTGGTTTTTAGTAATATGTGAGCTTATTAGTTGCGGTTCGTGTATATCACCAATTTGACGGACCGATTTCTTAGCTCTAGGTCAGCGAAATCAACGGATGATTTCTTAACACAGAATATGCGATGTTTCAAACGAAAAGGCTTTCAGTTCTATTAAACAGTGATTCCGTAAACTTCCAAAATAGACAAAAAAATCAAAAAAATCTATGCTAACGTGGTAATTACAAGTACCTGTATGAAAATCTCATGTAAAATCTGTGAGGTTCGGAAAACGCACCTGACAAGGGAGCGTTTGAAAGGTGTAATCGATAGGACTGCGTGGTTGCTTGAAGCCGAACACTTGCTTTAGGATGGCGGCAGCAACCAGTACGACGGATATGATTGCTCTTAGCCGAAATGATGTCCATCGTTTTGTTTTAGGTCATCGCAAAGCCATTTGGCAGTGAACGAAGTTAAGATCGTTCTCATTTATTCTACATGACAGTGGCTTCACTAATTATTTTAAATGCAAACTATAAACTGAGGCATTTAAGAAACCCCAAAGGTATCAGGCCGCACAACACAGAAGAGAAGCAGAGGTCAAGACGCAAAAGGTGGGATCTTTTGTGTTTGTCCCATAAAATTACTAGAGTTACAAGAATTATGCCCATAGATGCGATCATCAAAATATAATTTGAGAATGGAACGGTCTCTCCCGTATCCTAGGAAGGGATTTATTACTCCACATCCTCTACCTAAACTTGAGTGACTCCGGGGAAGGCACTATTAGCTCATCTTGTATCAAGAGGAAGAATCGCTATAATACTCCTTTAACACTGTGTGCTTCGTAGTGCATTTGTTTTCAAGCCCCAGCCTTACTGTATTTCGAAACAAAGATATAAGAAAACAGAGAAACGCAGCAGGCGATGCTGTTCCAACCAGCTCTGTAAGAGAAGTAATACTATAAAAAACGTCGATTAACGGGAAACTTTACACCAACATATATTGAAGGGAACATTAAGAGTAGAGGTGGAGAAAACAACTCCCATTAGCAGCAAGAGAAGTAGGTAGGCTTAACACGGCCATATTGTATATTCACAGGATAGCCAGACACAGGAGACTGTGAAGGAACTTTTGTGGCAAACTTATAATGGAAGCATAAAATGCAGTTATTAAACATTAATAATACCCCAAGATCATTGTTACCACTAAAACACACAGATAAAGAATCGACAAATGCAAAGGGTAAATGTTTAACTTATACGAAAAAATAAGGACTTTAGGAATAATACTTTGTTTATGTGGCAACCTGTATAGATAGTGATCATTTTGGAGGTCATCTTGCTTTTGCTTGGTTGGGTGGCTTTTAAGAATGACCATAGACTCGCTTCTGCCCTTTCTGCGGGAATATAAGCACTTAATCATGCTCAAAACATTACTCTGTGTGGTGGGAAGCCCTAAGACACTATATTAAAGGCAGCGACGATCATACTCGACTGTGTTAGGATCTCAGTGCTAGTTCTTTTACCGATGAAGACAGATTGCTGCTGTGTGAATGAGTTAAATATACCTCGGGCAGGAGAACCACTTACCTATCTACAACAAAAGGCTGGGAGCGGCGTCTGAGTTGGCATCTGACTTCTCCACTTGTACTACTGGCAAGCTAAGAAAAACTCAAGCGACAACGCCGTTAAACAACTGGAAGGGTTTTTCATCGCATTTGCATTCACGGCTCCCCCAAGTAGATGTTAGTGATGACATTATGCCAGATCTTCTTCCATAGGAATTGCGCCTGGTCCCATCTACCTTGCTATTCATTCCGTTTTAGACCAAGTTTCAAACACCTAATCATGGGCACAATTTTTAACCAGCTTAAATTCGCGCCTCTTATCTCTACACTCAGTCAAAACTGACAAGAGAGTAGTGTGTTCTCTCAGTCCTATAACGCTTGATGTTTGATGTTGGCTGAGGGCTTTCTTGCAGCACTGAATAGAATATGACAAGAAGCAGATAGACAGTCGTTTAAAAGAAGGAGGAGACCATGTAAAATAATGGTTATGTTTTAGCGTCCCACGACTTCCCATAGGGTGGAAGGAGACAGTAAGTGTAGCCGTATGCGTGTATTCCAAAGAGAACATAGCAAATTTCCTGCGCATGGCCCGAAGGCCAGCCCACGAGTGGAAGGGTCAGACAAATCCTAAGATGACCTCTATAAACATAAACAAAGCATTACATGTGCAACTACTTGTACGAATTTTGGTCAGCTTGGCGGCCATCTCGCTTCCGCCTTGTCATCTGGCATTTGAGCACAGCCATTGCCATGCTTCTACAATTTCTGTCTGAATATAAGCATCAGTCATGTCCAATGCTTCTTCCAGCCAGGCGAAAGGCCTAGGACCTTTTAGCGAAAATTAGTGTCATTCATTGTTAAATCAGTCACCTGATGTCTGACCTTCGTATGCGTGGGCTGGTCCTCGGGCCATGCACAGGCTTAATTTTCTCGCCTTATTACACATGTATTCAGCCTAACTTAATACTTTCTTCAAACTATCAAGAGGTCGCTTGCTGCAAAAAATTGCCAATAAACATTGTTTTAGGCCTTTGAATATCACGAGGTACTTAGATGCCGTAAAAATCCATTGACTCGAAACCACTGCTTTTGTATCAATTTAGGCGCAAAGGTTGACTACTTCCTTTTAATCTTCACTTGATCTTAAACAGCAATTTAAATAAAAATAACTAACTTTCAAAATAAAATAAATTCGAATTCTTGAACATGTGTGTGATCTTTAAATGATCTACGTTCTGAGGTCGTTCGTCGCGCGCGTCTCGACCTCTCGCCTTATCAGCTGACGCAGTTGCATCGGGGTAAGGCGCGGTTCTTGATAGTTGTTAGCATCTGGTTATTCTAGATTTGCGTGAACTTCTCTAGCAAGCTAAATAGTATGTAGTCTTAGGCCTTCCGGCCGTACTGGGCTTTCACACGTTTGATTAATTCCACCACCTCATTGAAATGCCTTTTTACTCGGCTTCCGTGAGAATCTTCCGTGATTTGAAAATTCGTAGGGGAAAGCATAACCTTGGATATTGTGCTTCCATCTGATTTTTTTGTCTGTCTAAAAACTAGGTTGTATAAACAGCTAGGTATATCCCTGAGGCATCGCTTCACCATGTACTTATTTTCTTTTGCGGCGTAGAATGTTGTTACAGGTTTTGTGTTGTTTTTTTCGTGGACATTTTTCACTATATCTGTCATAAGGCACTCGCGTGGCATCGGACTGTTGGAGGTTGTGGTCATCTCTTTTCTTGGCCTTGCCTTACGAGCTTGTTTTCATTGTACGGTAGGTAATTTTCGGCTCTTGTCTCTTTTGAACGATGAAGCTATCGGTACTTCACATTTTTCTCACAATTCCCTTCTTTCACTCCAATATCACCTGTCCGGTTCAGACTCTTAGCATCAAACATTTTCTCCTTTCGCGTTTGAGAATTGAGGAATTTTTTAACAGATTGAGTTTGTTATTGTCTCTTTCTCCTTGTCGCCTAATTGAAGGCGTCAGAAATGCTAATGCAAGCCTTCATGACAAATAACGTAGTTCTGTTGAATTTCTCCTTTCATTGTGGTACTTCAGTCTCAAGAGCGAAAGCATTTTTGTCCATTTTTGTTCGCTCCTTGAAAATAGTAGATTTTGTCCCTTTCAGCTTTCAACACTGTCCAAAAGGCGCTGAGTCTAGTCTATCGGTTGTTTTTTGACCAGCGTAGTTCGATTTCTCTCCCGATCGCTTGCGGTGTCTCATGTATCGCTCTTTCGTAGTTTTCTTTGTGCACGAGTCAATACACAAATTCGTGTTATTTGTATCTCTTCTCGCCAGGTGGCGGCATGGTGAAGACGTTTCAAGTCTACTTAGGTGTAAATGGTGGCGGTACAAGTCGTTGCAGTAGCTCAAGTACCAGTTCCAGCAATGGAACGGACTCACCAGATGCTAATGTTGTTGATGAACGCACATATAGCTGCATCCATTGTCGAGCCCATTTGGCTAGGCATGAGGATCTCATCTCCAAATCATTCCAAGGTACACAAGGTCGTGCATATCTTTTTGAAGCGGTTGTCAACGTCTCCTGTGGTAAACCGGAGGAACGACTTCTCCTAACTGGTGAGTCTATATTTGCATGAACTTGTCATGAGGAATCTAACCACGATTGGAAGTCATTTAAGGGCCAGAGTTCTGCCAATGGCGTGATCTGTGGGCTTCGGAACCATTCTGCAATCAGCTCTACCAGCATCGGTATCCACTGGGCACGAGCTTTTCTTTGTGCAGAAATGCTACGTGTTGCCCAGACTTGGCGTTTTATTGCCAATCTTTAGGTAGATTATGGCAATAACTTCTTTCGATTATGTCCTCCCACCCCACTCCTTTTATTTGGGTGGAAGAGAATCCTTGCGACCTCGGCTGTCTATTTCTTCTAAGCTCAGGCTTCAAGCAGATTATTGGGATGTTTGATTGTGTCGCCTCTCCTTTTTGCCGCCTTTGTATCTCGCATTTTGGTTAGTGAAGTCTGAAAGGTCAAATGAGAAACCTGCATGCTCAGTCTGTGCGACGCTTACCTCTGCGTTTTTTCTCACTGCGGTGTATCAAAGGCGCATCACAGTTTCGGCAGTCCAAATGACTGATTCATGTTTTGAGGTCAAGTCCCATCCTCTTTTTCGCATGTCAACCATCAAGTTTTTTGTGTGGCGCTTTTTATCTCTTCCTTCTCATCGTTTCTTTTCTGTCCTGTTTTTGTGCTCTCTAAGTAAACTCATCTTGCAATAGTCTGCGAGATGATCTACCATTACTCTCATGGTTGGTGTGCACCTGCCGGCACATTTTGGAATCATAACTTTAAAATTAAGGGCAGATAAGTGTGGTCATTACTGGCTCCGCCCTCCTGCTCCGTAGCTCCACGTCTCGCAATGAGGACTGGTCCAGTGTTTGCGAGGCCTAACTTCATAGTCCTCAATGAGTCACCTCGCATTCACTGATGGTAGTGTCTTGTCTGTCTTCAAGGTCGAAGATTCTTTTTCCTCCTTCGTTTTTTACTCTTGAAGCGGTTTGCACTGGGGCCTGAGTGTGGTAAGATCAGTCGTTTTCTCCAAGGTAGCTCTTAGTCATTGAACTTGTCAGGTGAACTGGTCCTCCTGCGAAGTGAAGCGAACGTTGTCTACTGGGTAAATCCACATTCATTGATAATGTTGTTCTTATTGTTCTTAAGGTTGACGATGCCTTTTAGCGAAAAAAGTTTTCCGGGGAGTTCATTTTCAACCTTGTTTTGAAAAGTTAAAACCTTTCAATATCATTAAAAGGAGGCCGAAAATGGTCTTGCACATGGTGTGGTAGCGTGCCTCTCATGCCCCTCATTTCACGTGAGAGGGTGGCAGCCAAATTGCTCTGTTCCTCTCCTTCTGACCAAGGTAAAACATCATTGCTTGATTGGGGTATGAGTAAACGAATCCTGTCGAGTAGGATAAAATTGAGTCCCTTTTTTTGGCTCTGAAAAGAATGGGCTCCTCCTTAGTGTGAACCCCTAACCAATCCCCCTGTGGAGTTCGGTGATTGGATCACGGTGGAAAAGTCCGCAGACGGAACCCCCAAAGGTGCATGTTTAAGGCTGTGCGATTGTGCTTGTGCGTAAATGCGGGACACTCAAAGGGACCTGCACTTTTAACCCTTTTGATTTTTTGTCGTTTATTCGGCTGATGGTGTGTCATGTGACGTCCTCTGTCTGTTCCAGCACCTGATTCACGTCATTGGGCTGGTGCTGGTGCTAGTGCTAGTGCTATCTTGAGGTGGCAACCCACGGTATATCTCTTTCCGAGGAGGCTGCCTGATTGTTGGCTGAATTCATTTGGTCTTCTTGCTTCCTGCCATAGGATTACATCCTGACGCTTTGTGGACACTCCTGAATTCGGAGAAGTGGACAGTGCGTTAGAATGAAACGTTAACATACAGAACTTTTTTTTGCCAAAGAGGGAGCAAATTTCGCCCAACACTCCGATTTTGTAGTTCAAGGAAAATCCTATTTCTCCCTTTCCTACTCCCCTCCCCTCACCAACTTGCTTCGCTCTTTTTCCCACTTTCAGGGTAGAAATTGTGATCACGTGAGGTCGTAAATTTAGATGTTACGCTTTTCTCAAATCCAATAGATGGTCTCTAGTAGTTACCGAGTTCATGTAGGTTTTTGTGCTTTGCATTAGTTTTCTGTTTCCACAATACGACATCAGTACTTATGAACTGTTTACTTCTAGACAGTACTTGGCTCTCCTCCTTATCTTGGGGATTCTTATCTGACAAAAAATTGTTGGAAATGTTGATGAACGTTGTGAATTTGACCTCTCCGTAGCTAGCCTTCTCCAACCACGTCGCAGAGAATTGAGCGAACTGAAGGGGTTAGGCTCTTGTGCCCGGAGTCTCATTGAATTAGTAATGTGGACGTATCGTGGGCTGGAGTGAGTGTTAAATTCGGAAGTGCTTTGGTGACTTTTGTCCCTCAATATAGACAAGAGAGCATAACAAGATGATCACCTGTTGATAACATTTAAAGTGCTACATTGTATCCCTCCCCACTTCAATGACGGCTTTCAAATAAGCCGTTTGACGCAACCTATCCATGTATCCAACTTCTTTGGCCGTTTTGATAAGTTGCAGTTAATTTGAAGACTTTTTTAAAAAAGGGGATGCTACATTGTCTTTTATAAAATAAGTGTTACGACTTAGTCTCCAACCTGCCGTCTCATCCCTTGGAAAGTGTCCTGTCGGAAGGATGCCTTTGTTAAACGTTTTGATTACCAGACGCTGTAACGCTCTTCTTCACTATGTACAAAGGAGAGAAAATCTTGCTGGTAAGCTGACAAGTGACAGGAAATGTCTCTACCCTCTATAGTTGGCTGAACAAGCGATCATCTCACCGAACGGCCCAGCTACCAGACATCGCCCCGACTTCATTTCCCAGATCACTCTTTGTCATTTGCATGCATGCAATGGCCTGCATCAGATTGTGATCACCCTCCGAGGGTCACACCGTTACAGCTAAGCCTGACCTTACCTACTCGAAGTAATTCAAGGTTCTGAAGGCTGTGTTAAAAGGTGAAGAAGGTTTACTCATCCGAAACAGTCAAAGCGGTCAGTAAGGAGTGGGACTGTTTGCTGTTCTCAAAAGACTGCTTAGGGACTTGCATTGTGTGCCTTCGTAGGATGTTTTGGTCAGATTTCTTGCTCTTCTTCTCTTCATCCTACATGTTTCGCCCTATTGCGCCGCTCTATACAGCGGCATTCACTGTCCATTGGAGGGTATGCAAGAAGCTATGATTAAGACCGGGCTGCCCACTTCTAGGTCGGGTGGTAAAATGCAGATGATTATTAGACATCCCATATCAGTCTCATGTTTTTTCCCCAGTATATAGTTGTTCCGAATCGTTCTGCTTTGCTTCCACAGTTTTTTGTTACTAGTTGCCTTGTTCCTTTTATGGGTTAAATAGGGACATTATTGTGCTAGCGGCTCTCCAAGTGGACCGACATAAAGTCGTTTCTTTGACCATAAAAGGCCTGATCTTATCTAAAAGTACTATGCCTACTTTTTGCCACACCCTCATCCTATTGGCTGCCTAAGTGGTGGGCTCTGGTGAGTGCGGTGGCATTCTTTATGGCAAATGTGGGACTACTTTGACGTCAAACTTCGCTTATTTTGGCGTGAATTTAGGAACTATTGATTTGTTCCATGTGGGTGTGAATCTTAGGTCAGAGCCACACTTGTCGGGCAAGTCGCACAGTTGTGCTGCTGCTATGAGTGCGGCCTCCTGATTGTCTAGTGAAGTGGCCACTTCGCGCTTATTCTTACACGTTTGCATAAGCTTCTCCCATCGTACTACTTAAACAGGGTCATCCATTATAAGCACAAAGTCATATAGTTATAGTTTGTAGAATGGTACTATAACCATTTTTAACTATTCTTCTGGTGCATATTTGATTTTCTCTTCTCTGTTGCTGAATTGATCCTGAAAGCCTTCCTCTTAGACAAGTTATGGTTGCTTCGTGATGTCTTCTACTGACATTTGGATTGGAAGATGAGGTAGTGACTTCAGAGGTAACATCTCTCCAACATGAAGACGTACTGGCCCTGGGGCTTGACAGCACCGTTTCTTGTGTCATCGCCGTGACTGCGTCACAGGTCGAAGCGCTACGTCGCAAATTGTGGTTACTGCCTCCGTAACAGCGGTGGCGTCTGCCCTCCCCTTTTGACCTCCAACGATCGCTCTCCTGCACCATGGCGTGGAAACACGATATCGTGTACACCTTTTAGCACCCCATCGCTTCACTGTTTTTTTCGTTTCAAGATGTGGTGATAGTTATTACTTAAGGTAACTGATTTATCGCAGGATTTTATCTCTACCCGCTCATAAGGGCAACTTTAATTATACATTCACCTGCATGGCAGAGGGTCGTAAATATGCTCTTCATTCGTTTATTTATGATGGGAACGAAAAGAGGAGAGAAAATATTCAAATGAAATTCCACGGGTTGAGGAAGTATTCACCTATCGCTTTCAAGTAACCATCAGTGGAACCTCCACATGTTTGGAGCGAATAAAGGGGTCTCCTTTCTGTTTGAGATAAAGTGGCGACGTAAAAGTGTCGAAAAACTCTGCCTGAGGTTTAAGTGAGTTGTTTAAGCCAATTACAGGTGACATCCAATTGGATCGGTCAGTGGTGGTGATGGCGATGAGGATGCTGACAGTGGCGGCGCTAGATAGTTGGGCGTCAACCTCACTTGCATAAGTCGTTATTCAATCCGAGGCAACGACGTCACGATTGGTGCAAACCATTTGTCTTTTTCCATTACGCAAGGCATTCCATGGTTTTGCACTTCTTTTCCATCTGGCTACTCACTCCTATCATTAGCATACTTCTACAAGGAAGAGGTGGACTCATTGACCTCAGTAATGTGGGGTTAGGGTTGTATTCTCTTCGATTCTGATGTAGTTGGGTCAAGTTGATTTGCCTTTTGACGATGCTGCTCTCTCAAATCTTAGGAAAGCGGATATGAAGTTTTGTATCACTTTAAGCTCACCAACCTGCTGAAGCGGAGCACTTTCGTCATGGCCACGGATTTCCCAGCCTTTCAAGAATTAAATGAACGC